TCTATATATATATCTATATATATCTGCCTTGCCATGAACACATATATATTCTTTTTATATATGTGCACCTATGTATATATGCTTATATGAACACATATTACATGTGTATATATGTGTATATGTGTTCATATAAACAAATATAAATAAATTGAGTGCCAGTAGGTAGAAGCATACAGAAAAAGAAAAAAAAACAATTTTGAAATTTCACCACTCCAGAATAATAATGAATGTTAAAGTTTTGATGCATGAAGTGCTTTGCCTTTACATTTTATTCTTTCTTATTATTATGGCATGAGCATTCCCCCCAAACATACTTTTTTTAATGATCTAGTTTATGGGGGGAGGGAATATTTCAATTTGTTGAAAATTATGATCAGAATCCCTAGACAGTAGGAATAACATGAGCATCAGGTCAAGATGGATGAGATATAGATCATGCAATCATTAAAAGAACAATAATATTTCATCTGGGATAAAGGAAATAGATGTGCTGTGCCAGTGCACAATTAAAGAGACTAGAGGTGTTCACAGAGGCCAGGCTGTGCTGCAGTAAGCAGGGATGGAGCTCAAGCCTTCTGTAGGCATCACCTAGGCATCTGTAGGCATTACATAGGCATCTGTAGGCATCACCTATGCATCTGTAGGCATCACCTACGCATCTGTAGGCATCACCTACGCATCTGTAGGCATTACATAGGCACCTGTAGGCATTACATAGGCACCTGTAGGCATTACATAGGCATCTGTAGGCATCACCTAGGCATCTGTAGGCATTACATAGGCGAAGGAGCTAAGAAACATTGCCTGAAAAGGGACCAACATGAACAAAATTTCTTAGAGCAGATGGAGTACAAAACCAAACAAACTAAAACCTGAGCAAAAAACGGAAAAACAACAACAGAATCAGACAAAGGAGAATAGAGTCCATATTCTGGGCCTGAAATGAAGCCACTGGGGCCTGACCCTCAAGGCAGGGTTAAATTTCAATTTTTCATTTTCTACCAGGCATAGTGGCACATACTTATCAGCCAGAACTTGGGATGCCAAGGCAAAGTGTCCTCAAATGTTTGTACTACTTAATAAGTTTGAGGCCGACTTGGGCTACAGAGTAGAATTTGTCTCAAAAACAAACAAAGAAACAGGCCAATACGCAAACCAAACCAAAAAGCTCCCAAACAAACAAAACCAAAACATTAAAAAATAAAAAAAAACACCTCCAAACTTTCTAGTTTCTTTTGTTATTTGTTCTAAGACCAAAACATTAAAAAATAAAAAAAAACACCTCCAAACTTTCTAGTTTCTTTTGTTATTTGTTCTAAGAGCTACTGAGAAAACCTACTAAAGCTTTTTAAGTCAGGGTGAGTAATGGTGGATTGATTTTCTTACATAACAAACCAAATCAAACCATCTGAACAAAAATACACAAAAGACAAATGGACAAACAAACCAAAAGCAAAGCCCAGGACAGAACCTGCCCTCAGTGAAGTAGGGTGCAGAGGTCAGCAGGAAGAGCAAGAGAAGGTAAAGCAGGCCTAGGTGGCCACTGTGGGACAATGATCTTTTATCCTGTCACTGCTATTATTTTTAATACAATGCTGATTATCCAGTAGCCAGACAGGAAGTATAGGCATGGCAATGAGAATTATGGGAAGAGGAAAGTTTCAGTCTGCAGTTGTGACAAAGGAAGCCACATACCAAGCAAGCAAGATGTGACTGCCTCGCCAAAAAAGGCACCAAGCCCTGTGGCTAACACAGACAAGAATTATGGGCTAATATAAGTTATAAGAGTTAATAAAAAGCCTGAGCTAATGGGCCAATCAGTTTATAATTAATGTAGACCTCTGTGTATTTCTTTGGGACTGAACCACTGCAGGACCTGGCAGGACAGAAACCTCGGTCAACAAAATCTATGCCTAGATTGGACATCTCAATATTCATTTCAGGACCGTGTACCTATGTGTAACATACCCAGTGTACCATTTTAGTTTATGTATCTTTAAAACAGGAGTGATGACGTTTAGTCTAAAGGGTTAGATTTTGTGAAGTGAAGGAGAGCATTGATGTCCCAGGCCTCAGTAATGTCCCTGGCTGCAGCAGAGCTGTGTGGTTGTTACTCCTTTTCCTGTGTTTGTTATTACTGCCCTCCAGCCTTCAAGGGCATTTGTCTCAGGACTATGTGGTTCAAATGCCTACCTAAGTTCTACAAAAAATGAAGATATGATTGAAGTCCAAATAAACACCACCACCTAGGAGCTGGAGCTGGAGCTGGTGGTCAGAGCTTTTTATAGGCCTGCGTGTTTACTTGGATTCAGGCATCCCGACATGTAAATTATGCAGAGTCTGTGTCACAGCAAAGCACTCTGTGTTCCTAAAAAGAATCCTCTTTTTTTTTTCCCCCGGAATCCTTTACCTTTAAAATAAATCTCATTATGGAGTGCTGACATTTTCAGTGAAACCATTCAACCCAAAGCTGCAGGGTTTTTTTTTTTCTCAGACTTTAAACAAGTCTGGTTTATTAGACAGCCATGTATAACATACTGCTAAGTAGACATGATCTATTTTGAGAAGTTTACGCAGATAACTGATAGGACACCTCAGTCTTTGCATCTTCCTAAGACAGACGGTGTTAAGCCAACTATCAAGAATCATCTCTTGGGGGAGTAGGAGTTGAAGGCTGCTGTTTAGAGTGGGTGGGAACCACAGAATCCTGACTTCGGTAAGTCTGCTTGGATTCAAGGCTTCTTCTTTGCACCATCTGTAACTCTGACTTAACTTTCTAGCACAATGGCCATTGTGCACTGGGGCTCCAGCCAATGCTCAGCTTCTCAGCCCACTCCTCCTGGGTTTCCCTTTCTTTTTTATCTTGTCTCCAGTTTCCTCTTTCATTCCTCTCCAGTTCCTCCTCCCATGGATGTAACTTCATTTTTTCTTGCCCGTCTTTAGACCACAAAGAAGGTGACATATATATTCTGTTGCCCAAAGCCCCTTAGTGACCTAAGTCCACACCATTAATAAGCACTGAGAAGTTTAGAACCCCAATGAAGTCATTTCCCATACTCCTCCCCCAGAATAATGAGGTAGGTATTGTATCCATTTCACAGACAAGTTACTTAAGCCAAAAGTTTATAGCTCTAATTGTAAAAGATTACTAAGTGATAGAATTCATCTTTCCATTCATAACAGTCATCTCCTCAAAGGACCCCTTGACATCTGTTTATTTTCTCAGACACATGTTTTTATTTCATAGACACACACACTAATCCTAACCTTAACCACTTCCTTATACATTTTTGTACAAATAGGGCTGATGGTCCATACTTACTTGAACCACAACACCTTCTACAGGCAGTATTTATTCTTTATGGCCAGTGTCCTTATGGTACTTGCTGCTGAACACTGTACATTATTCCTTCTTAGAACCTATGTAGATTAAAGAAATCAAACAATAAAATTAGCCAGACTCAAAGATGATACAACTTGATAAACTTGAATACAGTTGAAATTGCCACTCAGAATGGAAGCCATGGGGCTTCACATTGGATTTTATACTTTTAATCTCAAATATACTTATGTAATTACAATAAAATTACATTTAATCATAATCATGTAATAAAATACAATGCGTTTGTAAAATGCTTTAATAAATTAAAAATAAATTATGTAGATATAGGCAGGAAGAGAAAGGGTTAAGCTGCTTCTAGACAACCCAATAAGGTGACAGGTTTATAAAGTAGCTTAAGAAACCCACAAATTTGAACCACAGCTAGGACACCAAATATTTTCTCTGCTGTAAGATGACTCTGGGCAAAGTCCAGGTCGTATAGAGATGGGTAGTTTGTCTTAGGAGCCTAGGTTAAGGGGAAACTGCGCAGTAAAGTGAAGGGAGCAAAGTCATTCACATTTCAAGAACTACACCATGGTTTCTGCTCGGGAAATGGCTGGGGACAGGAAGTCCATAACACTCCACCACTAGATTGATTACATGTGCTCAGAACTCAGACAGGAATTGGTCACAAAACAAACAATGTCAGTTGTTTACTGAAAAGCATACACTAAATTCTAATAAGTCGTAAAGTTTTAAAATAAATTTATCTTTATATATGTGCTTATTTTGACAGCATGCATGTATGTGCATCATGTATATATCTGGTGCTCATGAAGGTCAGAAGAGGGTGGACTCACAGATGACTGTGGCTCACCATGTTGGTGCTGGGAATCAAATTCCAGATCCTCTGGAAGAGTAACCAGTGATCTTAACAGCTGAGCCATCTCTCTGGCCCCATAAGTCATAAAGTCTTAACTGCTATACTGACAAGAACTGCAGAATATGATCACTCCCTCTTAAAAAGAAAACACTATTGTATTTCCTTTCAAAATTCTTAATTCACAGTCAAAATATTCCCTGTGTGCTCCCAAAGGCTCTCTCACTTTGGGAGTGAGTCAAATCAGTGAGCACTTTCCAAGTGTCTGTTGCTCAGTTGCTTGGCTATCTATCCCCAGTTGGATGTGATGTGATGAGCTTAGGTCATGGTAGTCTGCATCTAAGTCTCTGCTTCCTCTCCACATAGCAAATGATTCCTGGAGATCAGTGTAAGCTAGTTGGCCGTGAGAGGACTTTGTGGTGTAGCTTGCGTTAGGACAATGACATTCCTGGTATCCTTGAAAGAGGACTGACTGCTCCATGAAGGTTTCCAGGAGAGCTGGGAGGGTGTGACGTACAAATATTGGTTGGAGGACACGATGATACAGATTTTGGTTTCCTCAAATGGGTTTGTCTAATGGGGAGCCATCTTGAGCTCCATGGTCATACGATGTTTCTTTCCCTGGCTTCTTTATTCTTCTCCCATCTCTTACACCTGGGATAGATTGACAGACAATAAGTGGCGGTAGGTATTTCTCAGCCCCCACTTTTGTGCAGTGCTTGATGTTTTAGTGAATGGTGTTGTTTCTATTCGAGAGGTCATGTAATTGTTTCTTTCACCCTGTGTTTGTTCCTACAGGATTGATCATTGGAATAACGAGAAGGAGAAGATCCTGATGCTCACAGACAAGACCCTCCTGATCTGCAAATATGACTTCATCATGCTTAGCTGTGTGCAGACACAGCAGATTCCTCTGAGTGCCATCTGTCGTGTCTACCTGGGCAAGTTCGTCTTCCCAGGGATGTCTTTGGACAAGTGAGTATGATGTCTTGCACCTGAAGACGCTATGAAGCCAGACAGATATATGCAGAGAAATCAATTATGTGGTCAATTGCTTGAAAAGCAGAGGAGAAGGGAAGTCCTACCATTAAGCTCATCAAAGCATCAAGTTAGCATCTATTCTATATTAAGCACCAGAGATGTGATTTTATAAGCAGATTGGTAATTTAGAATGAGAACCTAAGTAAATAGTTAGATGTAGTTAAGGAGGGAGACCTATGGGAATATAGAGAAAAAAGTTTCTACTCAATTCATAAGGCAATTAGAGGAGATTTCCCCGTAGAAGCACTTGAGCTAGTATTTGGATAGGAGCTACTAAGGCAAGCAGTATTCCAAGCAGGAGGAACAGCATAGCCCGAAAGAGTAAGGCATGATCAGGGCATATGGTTGTCTATATGGTTGGTAACTCAAGTTGTTCTGTAAAACCAGATGGACAGAGCTCACCAAAGTCAGTGCCCCACCATAGACAAATGCCCACTGGGTAAACTATAAATGTTAATGCAAGAGGGCATCCTTTGCTACTTAATCTCACTAACAGTGTGTGTAATAAAACTTTCTTACTTTGACAATAAACTGGTGTAGATGAGAGACATTCTTAAATCATATAGAACTTATCTACAAGATGGTTAAACTAGTTCTCAGCTTGCCATCAATATAAATTTTTGGTTATTAATTTCAAAATCATTATTATTCTTCCAGTCATCCTCAGACTTTTAATGACCCACATTATTTATTGCCCAGAGAGATAGACACACATGGAATTTATTAAACAAAAGAAGGGGAGATGCTGTGGTCCCCAGGATTCTACAGTGAGAATGCAGCTGACAAAATAACCAGGCTAACCCACGGGAATCACATTCAGCGGGGGAACCCATTTGTAGAGCACCCTCAGATCCCATTAGCTAGTCCCACGTGCTGGAAGCATCCTGTCTGAACCCTGAGGCTGGTACTCCGGGGTCTCTGATAAACTAGGTTTTTTTTTTAAAAAAAAAAATTATTGTTTTGTTTAATTTGCATTACAAGAATGCGAAGAGAGCAATTTTCTGTAAAATTCCTCTTTTTTTGACCAGAGCAAGCATTTGTCCTTTTGGATTTGTTAGAGATGAACCAGCTAAAATTCTCCCCATCATTTATTCGGTATCCCACCTTTTCCTACTGGTTTGACATGCACCTGCGTCATGTATTACCTTCCTCACACATATCTGGGTATTTCCACAGTTTTTATTCCATGCCGCTCACCCAAGCACAGTGCAGTTCCAATTGTTCTGCGGAACTCTGTGCTGACATGTGTGAGGTACAGTAGTCTGTCACTTGTCACTCTGGGGTTGTCACCATTTAACATGTGCCTTGTGCTGTCCTCGGACAGTAAGTTAAGAGATATTCTATTCTTTATCTTTTAAAATATTTTGTTTATGTGTGATTGGATGTTTGATAGCATTAACATGGGAAATCTTGGCATCACTAGGTGGAATAATTTCTGAAAATTATTTGGAATAGTATATAATTATGCTTTCTTTGATTTACTTTAATTTTAGTGAACTGTGTTTTCTAACAAATTTCTTAAGCATATTGGGCTGGTTGGGTTTGACGTTATAAAGTTATTAACAGTATTCCTCATTTCCCTAGTGTGTTAGTAACGTCTTCACTTCTCGCTAAGGGCGATCTGTGCCCTCTGGGTTTCCTGCTCATCTATTAATTTAGATTTAAAGAGATATGCCCTTTGTTCCCTCTGCCCTTCCCTATTGCCTGATTGTTATTTACTGAATTCTGCTCTTTTCTCTACAATTTATTTCACCCGTCTATTTGGGGTTTGCTTTTCCTCTTCCACAGCTGCTTAAAGAAGAAAGCAAGGTTATCATGTAAGACCTGCCTTGTTTTCTACTGTGAGTACTCACAGTGATACTTGCAACTATTGTTTTTCATGCCTCACATAAATTGAAATGTGTTGTCTTTCTAGTTTCATTCTGCGATATTTTCTAATTATTTTTCTTGTGATTTCTTCCTGAATCCATAAATACTTTGCAAGCTGTAACTCCTATTATCTGATTTTTTTCTAAATATCTGTATATTACTGAAATTTCATTCAGAGAACCTATATCTTTAAATTAAAAATATTATTTTACTTTATAAATATTTTATTTGCATGTACATTGTGTACCACGCACCTGCCAGATGCTCGTGGAGGCCAGAAGAGGGCAGCAGATCCCCTGGATCTGGAGTCTCAGACTAGTGTGGGTTGCCATATGGGTGCTGGAAATCAAAGCCGTGTCCTCTGTAAGGGCAGCCAGTTACCTTAGCCACTGACCCATCTCTCGTGCCTCAGGAACTCATGTCCTTTACTTAAGACCTTATGAATATGCTGAGATTTATTTCATGAACTAAACTGCTATCTATCTTCAAGATGGTACCAATTTTATGTTTAAGTTGACTGAAACATGACTTAGGCTAATGTATTTGATAATGTTAATTTAGCGGTCTGCACTGTAACTGAATTGTATCCAGCTTTACCATGGTTGCCCATTAATCAGTTTTATGGCAGTCGTGATGAAGTACCTTCAAAAACCAGTTCAAAGGACAGAAGGATTCACGTTGGCCAATAGTTCCAGACAATTCAATCCAAGTTCTCTTGGACCTATATGACTGAGCATCTGTCAGCGTTGGGGAGCAGGTGGAGGACATAGTTCATGAGGAGCAGGAGTCAGAAAGAGAGAAAGCCAGTGATTGAGGGCGGATCCTCATTAGGACTCTTCCTCCAACTAGCCCCACCTCCTAAGCTAGTGCCACTCTCTAGGAATCAAGTATTTAATACATGAGCTTTTGGGACATTTCAGACACACACAAAAATACATCTAAGAGAAGTGAAGTATTAAAAGTTGTCATTGTGTAACTTAGTTCTTTCATTAGTTTTGCCATTTTTGCTTAATTTTTGGCTATGTTTTATATATATATATATATCCCTGATAAGATGATCTTTGTTTCCTTATTCAGTTTTCCTCTTTAAAATATTTTCTTAAAAAATAGTTAAATTTGTATGTGTCTGTATGAATAATTTACTTTCATTATTTTTATTTTATTTATTTATTTATTTATTTATTTATGTTTTAGTTTTTTGAGACAGGGTTTCTCTGTTGCTATGGAGCCTGCCCTGGAACTAAGTCTGTAGGCCAGGCTGGCTGGCATTGAACTCACAGAGATCCGCCTGCTTCTGCCTTCCAAGCGCTGGGATTAAAGGTGTGTGCCACCACAGCCTGGCCATTATTTTTTTTACATGAGTTTTCTTTTTTGTTTTTTAAGTATGAGTTTATGTGTATCATGAACCTCTAAGTACCTCAGGGGGCCAGAAGAGGGTATCCGATCCCTTGGAACTAGAGTTAGAAAAGGTAGTGAGCCACCTGATATGGGTGCTGGCAACTGAACCTGGATCTTCTGTGAGAGGGGTAAGTGGTCTTATACACCAAACCACCTCCCAGGCTTCTCAGTGTTCCTCTATCTTTGGCAATACCTGGTGTTCTAAAGATTGGTTTGAAATCTGATATTATTTCAGCATCTCCTCTGTTTTGATTCTTACATTTCCCCACTAGAACATCCCTTTCCACCCTTCGCCTCTACTGACTAGCCCACTGTATTTCCTGTAGCAGTTCCATAGATCACACAGTTAAACCAGTCCAGCCATGGCTGCCTTTTAACTGCAACGGTTACTCATGTCTGTGCTTTTGATGTGACTGGCTGCCTGCTGCTTGCTCCCTATTTTTTTCTTTTATTTTGGTTCCTTTGTTCCTTTTTTTTTGCTTATATTTTGATTAAATATTTGTCCTATTCAGATTTTAGTCCATCCATTGGCTTTCGTCTATAGTATGTGTTTTGGTTGCTTTCGGTGGAGTTCATCAGCCTAGCGTTATCGGTGGCTTGGAAAGGGGAATTATTACTTCTAGGAAGCTGTTTTGCCTCCTGTAGAGCCTTCAGCAGTATTCCTGGACACATCTCTACCTACCGCCATCTACTAGTGATCACTCAGGGTTTTTCTATAGCTTTGCCTTTTCCAGAATGCCACACACTTAGAAGCTACGTAATAGACTTTCCAGATTGGTGCCTTTGACTCAGAAATATTTATTTTAGATTACTCTGTGTGTTTCATGGCTTAATGAATCTTTGAGTAAGAGTGTATACACACTTACTTGCTCTATTATCCTTAATTTACCGGATATTTCACATTCAAACAGCTAGTTTTTTTTCATTCACAAATATTTGAAAATGATGCTTTTGTTTTCTGAGGTACAAATCTGATACATGATACTTAGACACACAGTCATGGTATTTATATTTATTCTCTTTGCCTATTTATTTAGTAAATTTTTTTGTCTACTTGATCCATCCATTATGGGCTGGAAGAGAAGGACTACATTTTCCTGTTAGCAGGTTGATGATTTTACTTTTTATCAGTTTACATTATGAATATGGATAATGTACTCTTCAATCTACAGACTCAGTGGGATCTTTCCTAATTTATGTGTGGAGTCTGTGTCTCTTTCTGCTGTTGACTGGCTTCAGCCATAACTGAATACCATATTCTATTGTTTGTGTTCACTTCTTGTGCAACGTCGAGTTTTAATACGTTTTGCTTATGTAAGCATTATTACTTTAATGGTTATTTTCTTGAGTAATGCTTCAACTTGACATTCTCTCTTAATTTACACTAAACCCCCAATTGGAAAGCCCAGAGACCTCCACGTATTTCCTCAAGTTTTCCATCCTTTGTCCCCTTAGTTTTACCAAACAATTTTCCTTTTATGGAATAGTTTATTCACTCTCCCACGGAGCATCCAATTATTACCATCGGGAACTGATGTAACTCCAGGCCTCCTAAATAACCTGTGCGGGTGTATCCAGCATTGTGTCCTGCGGTTAGAGTGAGAGAGGCTGAGCCAGCTGCCTGTAGCTGTGCACCAGAGGTCAGCATCTGCCTGGAAGGGGCTCTT